TTTGTGATGCAAGCAACAAAAGGGGATGGTGGTACATGCCTGTAATCCCAGCACTTGGGGGGCTGAGGCTGGAGGATAGTGAGTTTGCGGCTAGCTTGGAGTACATAGCAAATTCCATCCTAGGCTACATAATAAGACCCTGGCTACAAAGTAGTAAATTATAATGGCACATGAGAGAGAAGAGCTCACTCAAACTTGTTGAATGAATGACTAAAGTATCTCTTCTATCAGTCTTCTTTCTTGCTTGTTTATTATGGTTTTTTGAGACAAGGTCTTACTGTGTAACAGCCCTGGCTGTCCTGGAACTCTCTCTGTAGACCAGGCTGGCCTCGAACTCACAGAGATCCGCCTGCCTCTGCCTCCTGAGTGCTGGGATTCCACCACCACCCAGCTTGCTTTTTTTAAATGAGACAGGTTTCACTCACTAGACCAGGCTGATCTAGAGCTCAGAGATCTGTCCCCTTTGGCTTTCTGAGTGCTGGGGTTAAAAGTATACACCACGCCCTGCTTACCTTCAGTTCTCTCAATTGGTTCTAAATTTAGGGATATAAAGGAACTAAGGGGACCATCTGCACTTAGCTTCCCCCTACCCAGGTGAATAAGCCTCACACTACTGCTGGGGGCATAAGCTGCATCAGGGATTTGAGAGGACAATTTGTCAGCAAGTATTCAAATGGAAAGCAATCAGCACAGATACTTCTGAAGCGGGAGGGTGGAAAGAAAGCTCAGGGCCAGCCTGAGCATGTATTTAGTGAGATGCTAACTGAATAACAAAACATGAAAAATGTGCTGGGGGCCTGGTGGTGGAGGCGCACACCTTTAATCCCAGAGGCAGAGGCAGGTGGATCTCTGTGAGTTTGAGACCAGTCTGGTCTACAAGAGCTAGTTCCATTCCAGGACAGCCTCCAAAACCACAGAGAAACCCTGTCTCTAAAAGCCAAAAAAAAAAAAAAAAAAAAAAAAGTATGCTGGGGCCTGGGCTGCTGAGTTCAGCTGGGAGAATACTTGCGTTGCATGCCTGTAGCTTTGGGGTTATCTCCGACACAGCATGAACTAGGTGTAGTGCTGCATGGCTGGAGACCCTGTCTCAAAACAAACACCCCCCAAAAAAACAAACAAAAACCCAAGAAGGCTGGAATACCACAGAGATATTGCACATAGTCCATACTGCAGGACTAGCCACAATAGCCAGGACCTGGAACCAGCTTAGGTATCCATCAACAGATGAATGGCAAAAAGACAGTGTGGCACTTACACACAATGACATTTTATTCAGCTATAGAAAAATTAAACTAAGCCGGGCGTTGGTGGCGCACGCCTTTAATCCCAGCACTCGGGAAGCAGAGGCAGGCAGATCTCTGTGAGTTCTAGTCCAGCCTGGTTTACAAAAGCCACAGAGAAACCATGGTGTGTGTGTGTGTGTGTGTGTGCAATGTGTTACAATGAAACCCTTTTCTTTGTCTGCTAGCCAAGATATTAAATAAATAAATACTGATTATATAGCTCAATGGAGAGAGACAACCTGGAAATAAGACCATTTATTGTTACATTCACTCAAAAAATACTTAATGTATGGCGGCATCAATGAACCAGGTAAGAGTTCTCTTTCCAGGGGGCAACATTAGGGAAAGATAGCAGCAAGCTAGTAAATACATAAGTAATTGTAGGCAACATGTCTCTAAAGACAATAAATCATCAGAGGGACATTGTCTTCTAATATTGTACTTATCACTGTTGTGGTGTGAGTCGTGTGTGTGATGTGTGTGCAGATATGAAAAGGCCAGAGGAGGACTTTCAGGGCTTGGTTCTCTCCTTTCCACTGTGGATTCTGAAGATCAGAACTCAGCTTGTCAGCCTCGATTGGAAGGTGCTTTTACCCACTTAGCCGGACTTCTGATATGAGGGCCAGGATTTCTTGAGCTGAGTGAGGCCTGAAGAACAGGAAGGAAACAGCCTTGGAAATGTTTTTTGGGTTCCTGTGGGGCACAGCAGGGGTGAGGTCCTGAGGGAGGAATGTGGGCAGAACATAAAGAGAGAAGATACTGAGGGAACAGAAAATTGCAGTCCCCACTTGGGGACTTCTGGCTACACTGAATGAGGCATCCATGGTGATGTTTGAACAGTAGAGGGATGTACTTGGACAGGAGAGACTATATAAGATGTCTACCAGGTGGGAACAGAAACCAAAGCAGAGGGAGGTGACAGGGCTTAACCAGAAGTGCTACAGGTGGTGAGAAGTGATTAGATTCTGGGTACATCTTTTGATTTTTTTCAAAGTTTGTTGTTGCTGTTGTTTTTAATTTCATTGTTTTTAGTGCCTGAGGAGGCCAAAAGAGGGCACTGGATCCCCTGGAACTGGAGTTACGGAAAGTTGTGAGCCACCATGTGGGTGCTGGGAATTGAACCTGGGTCTTTTGGAAGAGCATCCAGTGCTCTTAACCGATGAACCATCTCTCCGGACTGTTTCAATTTTTTTTTTTTTATTGAAAGTAACAAATACACTGAAAGGTACACATTATACTTGTGGGTAGCCTAGCACAGCTGGATGGGTTTTCATAAAGGGAACATTTCTAATGAGTATTCAAACAAAAACACTCCCAGAATTGCATAAGGTGGTGCACGCCTGTAATCCCAGGACTCAGGAGGCAGAGGCAGGTGGATCTCTGTGACTTTGAGGCCAGCCTAGTCTACATAGAAAGCTCCAGGACAGCCAAGGCTACACAGTGAGACCTTGTCTCAAAGGGAGTTTCTGGGCATGAAACAGTCTGCCAAGCAGGTAATTTTGCTTTGACTTGAATAGACATCACAGGCCCCAAAGGCCATCTTCTTCAAAGGCACTGTTGGAATGAATGAAGAGAGCAAGGACTTAATGCTGACCCTCTTATATCCTGGACCAGCTCCCCTCTGCTTCCTGAGCCTGCTGCCACCCCTCAGTCCCGCGGCCCCTATCTCTCCGTCGGAGCCCATCAGTCAAGCCTATAGCCTGGCCCTCTACATGCAAAAGAACACATCAACGCTGCTGCAGACATACGTGAGTGACTCTGGGTAAATCCAGGGATCTGGGGGAGGAAGTGTTGGCCTGGACAGGGCAAGCACAGCAGGTCCAGGAGACCCCTCTGTGAGCATGAGGGTGCAGCGGCTCTTAGCCAGAGACACATTCACGCGTGTTGTCACTTTCGGCAGTCATTTTTTCTGGAATCACCTCATGCTTCTCTGGGAGGTGGGACTAGAATCCTTTTTACAGGTGAGAAAATGGAGTTGTAGAGAGGTAGGTAATTTGCCTTCGGGCACTGAGCTAGTGAGTGCAATGCCAGTGTCTGGAGCCAGGTCTGTGGAACTCCATTGTAGAACCGCCCACCCCCACACTTACTGTCTAGAGGCAGACCTGCCAGCTTGCTTTCTGAGTCTTAGATGTTTGTTTGCTTGACCCATGTGGTGCTGGTTTCCATTCTCAGTAGCAGGGCAAACACTTGACCTCATCTTAGCCCTGTCCCTTCCTGCATCACATAACTGCCTGGTCCTGAGACCCTGGAGTTTAGAACTCTTCCACCGCATTACACCAGTGTGATTATAAAATCTAGGCTCTAGGTTGGGCATGAGGGCTCACACCTTTAATACCAGCAACAAGGGAAAAGAGGCAAGCAGATCTCTATGAGTTTGAGGCCAGCCTACAGAGAGATTGACAGTGAGGGATACACAGTGAGACCCTGTTTTAAAAAAAATAAAGAGAAACATCAGCTGTTACATTTCTTTTTCTTTTTCTTTTTTTTAGATTTATTTATTATGTATACAGTGTTCTGCCTACATGTATACCTCCTATAGGCCAGAGAGGGCACCAGATCTCATTACCGATGGTTGTGAGCCACCATGTGGTTGCTAGGAATTGAACTCTGGACCTCTGGAAGAGCAGCCAGTGCTCTAATCCTTTGAGCCATTTCTCCAGCCCAGCTGTTACATTCCAATAATGTACTCGGACTGAACATACAGTCATACAGCTCTCTGATATTCATATATTAGTAGATAGTGGTTCTCACCTTGCATGTCAGATGCTGTGTTCATTTTTATGTGTATTATTTCCTATCATTGTACAACACTACCATGTAAAGCTATGGATTCTTGCAATTCAGTGAGGTACAACTGACACACAGAGGACAAAATGGAGCCCGTAGCTTTCTTGTTTATCCCTGCAGCTCCCAAAGGGTGGTGAATGGTGGCTTCCTCTGAGAAAATGCTAGTCTCAGAAGGAAGATGTGCGCCCAGAGACTCCTTCAGTCACTTTACTTCTATTTGTCTGTCATTCATTCAGCTCCAGTACCAGGGTAGCCCTTTCAGTGACCCTGGCTTTGCAGCCCCTGAACTTCAGCTCAGCAGCCTGCCTCCTGCTGCAGTCTCCTTCAAGACCTGGCATGCGATGGACGATGCAGAGAGGCTAAGGCGAGCCCAGGGAGCCTTCCTGGCCTTGACCCAGCACCTCCAGCTTGTGGGCGATGACCAGAGTGATCTGAATCCTGGCAGTCCTGTTCTGCTGGCCCAGCTAGGAGCGGCAAGACTCAGGGCCCAAGGCCTATTGGGCAACATGGCTGCTATCATGACTGCTCTGGGGCTGCCCATACCCCCAGAAGAGGACACTCTGGGCCTTGTCCCTTTTGGAGCCTCAGCCTTTGAGAGGAAATGTCGAGGCTACATAGTGACCCGGGAATATGGTCACTGGACGGACCGGGCTGTGAGGGACTTGGCTCTACTCAAGGCCAAGTACCCAGCATAGAAGGACGGCCTTCTGTCCCAGGGTGTTTGTTTCAGAGAACTCATTCCTGCCTTCCTTCTGAGATGCAGAACACATCACATCTCGCTTAGCAGTCAGGACCCCTGTGCCAAGCATTTGGGACTATTTCCTGGAAGCCAAGACTCCACTCATTGCCCGGGCCTTCCTGCCACATCCTAGAGACTCCTTCCAGATCTGAGCAGGACTCGGGAATCCAACTGATGGACCAACAAGCTGGTGATGTGTTGATATTCCTACTTCCTGGTTAGAAAGAAGAGCCCTTCTGAAGAGGTTTCACTTCCCACCCCAGGGAGAGGACAGCTGGTCTCCCTCCTGGACTTATCCTGACTTTCCTCTTCCTGTATTTGAGGAAGTCCAGGGGCTGTCTTTGTCTACCTCAATTCTTAGGTGAAGACATAGACTTTCTGAACACAGGCCTCTTTTTGCTGGGGTTCTTCTCCTCAGTCTACCTCTCCATTGACGGTTTCTATTGAGCTCCCCAGTGGACAGAAGCCTAATGATCACAACCACTAGGACTCATGTCTCATCTATTTCCTGCCAAGGATACCAGGAGATCCACTTTGTGTTCAGGACTGACAAGTGTTATCCCTAGCCTGGGCCCTTCAAGAATTTATTTGTACTGTGCCTTTATGGGTCAACAGGTGTGTGTATGGGGGTACCTCCTGTACCCTAAAGATCCTATTCTTCTTAAATCTCCCCATATGCAACAACTGTGTTTCATTACACTGTGGTTTTATTGTTAAACATTTATTTACAAAATTAATTTATTCTCAAATAAAACTCTCTTAAGATGTTTTTCTGCCTTTCTCTCTCCAGGCTAGAGCTGGGGGCCACTGGGAACAGGGTAGGGAGGTAAGAAAGGGGAAGGATATCGAAGGGGAAGGATGGGGTTCCAAAGGAACTGGCAGGAGGAGAGAGTACATACGGGAGATGGTCCTGATGATGGGAAAGCCTTGCCACCACAGAACCAGCAGGCACTTTTCTGGTCAGGAAGGGACAAAGGAACTGAAGGAAGAGAAAGTGTCATCTCCATGGTCATATGGACAATGGGGAGACAGATGAGGAAACTGGGAGTCAGAGGCAGGTGGATCTCTGTGAGTTCGAGGCCAACCTGGTCTACATATCGAGCTCCAGGCCATCCAGGGCTACAGAGTGAGACCCTGTCTCAAAAACAAACAAGAAAACAAACAAAGAACAAGAGACAAGGAATAAGAAACTGAAACCTGTCGGAGACAAAAGAATTCAAGACAGAAGAAAAAGAAAAAAAATGAGAAACTGGTAGGCACGCGAAGCTCCCTGAGGAGACAAGATCCAAAGAGAATGTGACCACACACTGCAGAACGACAGGGACAGTCCAAGAACACACTGACACAGATGGAGAGACAGGATTGGAAGCCAAAGAGGTGGGACAGAGTGAGCTTGCAAGAGCCAGGACTTAGTACCGACTCTCAGGCGACGCCCCCATGTACCAGCTGGCTCAGGTCGCCCTCTGTGCGGTTCACCCACTCGCCATAGAGACCGCACACCTGGAGCCCCAGCACCTTGGCTGAGAAGATGCTCGCAGCGCTGTTGGCGGTGGAAAGGGCGGTGGTGGCGGAGTGCTCCGGGCCGGGCCCGCGGGCTGCTGAGCCCAGAGCGGCCAGCACCGTCTCCACCGCGGCTCCCAGGGCCCTAGCCTGTCGGGCCGCCTCCTCCAGGCTCCGCTGCAGGCGCGGGGAGCGGGGGTTCAGCTCCGCTTGGTGGCGGCGCACAGCATCCAACAGTGCGGGGAGCGCACCCAATGCTGCCGCGTCCAGACGCAAACGCTCCGACAGCGGTAGCCCCGCGTGGCTCGGGGATGGGCCACTCAGGCCGGCTAGTGACAGTCGCGGTGGTGAGAAGCCCCAGATCCCAAAGGGATCTCCCTGCTGCTGCACCTGTGGAGATATGGCCACGGGTCAGCCGGGCTCCTAGGACCTTAATGGGAGCTCGACCTCTCTTAACAGCCCTCCTTCCTTCTCCTGGGGCCTTAGTTTCCTCATCTTGCAAATGACAGACCCTATTGTGTTTGAGACTAAACCAAAAAATTACACAGGGTTTACACACCACTGTCTCTGTTTCTCTAACAGCTAATACGAGTATCAGTTTCATGAGGTAGTTGGGAGTATGCAGAGTCCGATGGACAAGTGCTAGAACTCAGGAAGAGCTAAATAAATATTAGTTATTTTTAAATTACTTTGGGGGCAGTTATTTTTGAGATGGGTCTTACTTACTATGTAGTATCCTGGAACTCACTCTGTAGACCAGGCTGGCCTCAAACTCACCGAGATCTGCCTGCCTCTATTTCCTGAGTGCTGGGATTAAAGGCATGAGCCACCACACTGGCTTTACTTGTTTGAGACAGGGTCTCACTATAGCTTTTGCTGGCCTGATACTCACTCTGTAGACCAGGCTGGCCTCAAATTCACAGAGATCTGCCTGCCCCTGCCTTTCCAAGCACTAGTGTGTGCCCTACTATTTTTTAAAGTGTGTGTGTATGATGTGAGGCAGGGGCGGGGGGGGGGGGGGAGGTGTTGCACATGTGACAATCAAGGACAACTTCATGGAGCCAGTTTTCTTCCACCTTTATGTTGGTCCTGGAGATCAAACTCTGGTCACCAAATTGCCTGGGTAGCCCCTTTACCAGCTAAACCACATCTTCAGACCCAGAGCCAGGTTTAATTCCTGTCTTCTACTTACTAGCTGTGACTTCTTGCAAGATCATTCCCTTCTTTTGGGGGGGGCGGGGTTCGAGACAGGGGGTTTCTCTGTGGCTTTGGAGGCTGTCCTGGAACTAGCTCTTGTAGACTAGGCTGGTCTCGAACAGATATCTGCCTGCCTCTGTCTCCCGAGTGCTGGGATTAATGGCGTTCACCACCAACGCCCGGCAATCATTCCCTTCTTTTGGCTTCAGCCTTCTCGTGTGTGAAAGTAAGGAATGTTCCCTGTTCTGTCTTTCTGTCAAGGTCACAGAAACAATGCAGGGGCCGGTCAGATTCACCTCCTCCTCTCCTTCTCGATAAACACCAAATGAAAGAATACATGAAAGACAAAGGTGATTCATAATTTGTCAAATGCTCTAACAATAATATGTATCCTTTGCAAATATCTTGCCTTTGGCACAGGCCTTGTGGTTGCTACTTTGGATACAGTATTTTCCTAAAAATGGGGATGATAAGGATGAGGATGGCTTTGTAAATAGAACTGTGGCCCATTGTGACAGTGCCAGCCTGACAAGCTGAGTCTGATCCCGGGATCCACATGGTAAAAGAGAGAACCAAGTCCCTCAGTTGTCTTCTGACTTTCAGATACATACACACCATAGCACTTGGGTGCTCAGTCACTCATGTACACAAAATAAATGAATATGATTTTTAAGAATGGGCTGAATATAAGCAATGATTGGCAGCATGTCACTCTCCCGGGAAGCAGCAGAGCTGGGATCTGGACCAATGTTGGTCTGTCTACACAGATGGCTGTATCACCTGACTGTCACTGTTACCATTATTTGTTACATTCCTTTTAAACATCATTATTACATCCCAAGGTCATAAGTTAGCAACTCTACAGTCTGTCCGAATCAAAACACCAGCCTTTCCCTACTACACCTTGGTAATCAGGAGGAGTCTTTTTATGCGGCCAGGACAGGACTGCTGGCATGTCTCTTTGCTCTGTAAAAGTCCCCTCATGGGTAGATTTTTAGCCCCTAATTGAAACCCCTTCTTGGCTTCTCTAAATGTCCATGTGCAAGTGGTCACAGTTCATATTATCAGCTGTTTAACTGTACAGCCCAAAGACCTGAAGACCTGAAGATCACACCGAGCCCAAATCTAGGTTTCCTGACTCCTAGCGGTCCCAGTGTTTCCTCAGACTGGCTCTGCTTTCCAGCACCGAGAATGGCGCCTCCAAGCTGGCCACTGACAGGGTCCTCCACTTTACTGTGTGGCCAGAAGAAAGTTAGCGTTCCCCTTAGAAACTGATTTTCACTGCTGGAGACAAGGTGGAAGAAATGGGTGAAGACATCTGTGATGTGTGCTTCTCCAATTCCACACCCCCAACCCTACCCTACTCACATACTCCTCCAGCAGCTGCTCTGCATATTTGGTCAGGAGGCGTGCAAGGTTGTGTGTCTGGCGGATCTTGGCCTCCAAATGGGGAAGGAATGAGATTGAGGAGTCAGCCTGGGGGTCTTCTGGTGGGAAAGAGGGGGAGTGAGGGGTTATGAGGGCAACCCAAACCACTACTTAGCCATCTTTCTTAGGCTGGCTCTTCCTGAACCCAGAGGTTCTGCTCTGGATGCTAACATTCAAGTTAGGAAGTGGAGGGAAAACCAGGCGCCAAGCAGTTTCTCAATACAAAATGTCTCTCCTGTCCCCAAATCACTGTTGAAATCCTATTAAGATCAAATTCAATACTGCCTCCATAGGGGCTGCCTTCAGATTTCTTACTACCCTCAAATCAGCTTCTTGTTCACTCCCAAGGTAGCTTCTTTTATCCACGTGAAGACTCCTTAGAAGGCAGCTATGCTCACCCTATACCACCAATGCTATCCTAAGAAAGACCCTTTAAGGACGAAGTCACATTATCTTTGGATTTCTCCAACCGTTGGTTGAATTCAGTCAGCCTCACGGAAGCACAAAAGTTCACGTTGGAACGTGCTTTCCAGGCCTGTTCTACAGACAGAGAAACCGAAGACCTATTCCCTTCCTCATGCTTCTAGGTGAGATGCTAGGCTCAACAGCATCAACGTTTCAAGGGCAGGCTGGCCTGCCCTGGCACAAACCAGAGGGTGGTGCCAAAGGAAGACGACTACATTTCCCAAGATGCACACTGCAAGCATTCCAATGCATGCTGGGGAATGTAGTCCCAACTCGACAACGCTTTCCGTCTGAGTTTCCCACCTCCAGCCAAGGTCTTAGAAGCCTGTATTTAGCCTCTTGTCAGTCATAGCTCCTTCGTATACCAAAGATTCCTTAACTCGGCCTCTCCCTCCAGTCCTCAGCTTTGGTTCTTTGCTAATACTCTGAGAGGCAATGTTATCCTGCCCCAGCCCGACCCCAGCCCTTCTTCAGGGTGTACTCACCCATATATTCGGTGCTCTAACCACTGAACCCAAGACACTGAAGCATCAAGTCCAGGCCTCCTTTTAAACCCTTGCGCCTGCCCTTTGTCCCAACTCACCCGCTGGTTACCTGACACCGGCGTTTCCTCCCGCCCCCGACCCCCCCCTCCAGGTTCTTCCCCTCCCAGACTCGGGGTTGGGATGGTGTTGACAGAGATCCAAATCCCAGCTTTCGACCCCACTCACTCCTGTTCCTATCAGGGACCCAGGATGCAGTCACTCAGCCCCTTACCCAGACTTCCCTCCCTCTGGCTCATGCTGGCCCTTGGCCGATCCCGGTTTCCCTCAACACACCCTTACCGGAGGGGAGGAGGGGAGGGGGGAAAAGGGGGAAAGGGCTAGGGGCGTGGCTTGGGCTCAGCCAATCATACAAACATTTCCTTCCCACCACTACTTTCAGGCAAGATTCCTTGGCCCTGAGCTCAGTAACCCGCTTGTGAGGCTTAGGCTGGGAAGGGGCCAGAGTGGGGAGGCAGGTGTTGGCACAGTGAATGGGTACTTGGACCTTTAAGGAAGCTCTTGTGTCTTGCTGGGAGGAGGAGACTCAGGCTCTGACCTGAGGTAGAGCTTGACAATAAGGGCTGCTTTGAGGGGACAGCTGGGAAACCAGAGAGGAAAGCTTCAGGGCTGGCAGAAGAACACAGGCAGGTCCTCCCCCTGGGCCAAGACAAAGAGAGAGGCCAAGGCAGGCCTGTTTAGATTAGGGGGCACCGAAGGGATGCACCCCCTGGCCTAGCTTCTTGTTTTAGATGCCTTCCACTTCCCCTGTCACTCTGATCAGGAGTGAGACAGCCTTACCATTACAGACCCCTCCCCTGCCCCGTGTGTGTGTGTGTGTGTGTGTGTGTGTGTGTGTTTTAGACATCTAGACACACACACACACATATGTTTAGGCATCCGCACCCAGACTCTCACACAGGCTTCAGACAGTTCACACCCAAACAGCAGCTCATCAACCCGAGGGGACACTGGAAGACTGCACGTGCTTGTCTTTACAATTGGTTCTCAAGCTCCTCCTCTGTCTTGGGCTCTGGCACAGAGAGGATCCATATTTGGTTTCAGGCTTCAGATAATGGAGTTTGTGAGCAAAAGGACTGAAAAGGCCTGTGTGGAGAAGTTAACATGGGGGGCTGGAGAGATGGCTCAGCGGTTAAGAGCACTGACTGGTCTTCCAGAGGCCCTGAGTTCAATTCCTAGCACCCACATGGTGGCTCACAACCACCTTGAATGAGATCTGGTGCCCTCTGCTGGCATGTAAGCAAAAGACTGTATACAAAATAAATAAATAAAATCTTAAAAAAAAAAAAAAAAGAAGTTAACATGAGCAAACCATTAGAGCAAAGGAATTCATTATCAGAGTGCATTACAGGCGCATTTGAAGCCAGACTGTCAGCAGTGGCCACAACTGCACACTAACCAGCAGTAGTTATTGGGTATTCACTGTGTGCCAGAAAAGTTTGCAGACACCCTTCGCACACAAACACAGCAGACATGCCCTGTCTATTGATGGTCAGCTTCAAATAAAATCAACCAAGATGCACTCAGTTTCTTTCCTTTTTATTTCTGTGTGTGTCGGGGGGGGGCATTGTGTGCATCTGAGTGCAATTGCTGGAGGTGGCCAGAAGAGGGCATTGAATCCCCTGGAGCTCCATTAACAGGCAGTGCAACATGGAGTGCTGGGAGCTAAACTTGGGTCTTCTGGAAAATCAGTAAGGGCTCTTAACCTGAGCCTTCTCTCCAGCCCCTATTTCCTTCCTTCCTTCCTTCCTTCCTTTCTTCCTTTCTTTCTCCCTCCCTCCTTTCCTCCCTCCCTCCCTTGTCCTTTCTTTCTTTTCTTTAGTTTTTCCAGATAGGGTTTCATGGTGTGTAGCCCTGGCTGTCCTGGAACTCACTATGTAGTCCAGGCTGGCCTTGAACTCACGGGGATCACCTGTCTCTGCCTCTCAAGTACTGGGATCAAAGTTGTGTGCTATCACCACCAGGCCCTTTCTTTTTGAGACAGGGTCTCACTATGTATCCTTGGCTGGGCTGGAATTCAATATGTAGACCAGGCTGGCCTCAAACAAGGAGAGATTTTGAAGGGACCAGACCCTCACCCAGCCCCCTGCTTTAGCAGCCATAACAGGTTGCAGAAAAGACATGTAGGCATCTGACTCAGCATTTGTCAGAAAGGGACTCTAGGACAGACCAAACCCTCCCCCTTAGCCTCCAGGATGCTAAGTTCCTGGAAACTGTGTGTCCCAGGCCACCTGTAAGAAACAAAACCCCGCTGGGTGGTGGTGCATGCCTTTAGTCCCAGTACTCAGGAGGCAGAGGCAGGTGGATCTCTGTGAGTTCGAGACCAGCATGGTCTACAAGAGCTAGTTCCAGGATAGCCTCCAAAGCCACAGAGAAACCCTGTCTCGAAAAACAACAACAAAAGAAAAAGGAAAAAAAAAAAGAAACAAACAAACAAAACCTCAGAAACCATAGAATGTTCTAGCAATGACCAATGAGAATAACTAGCAAACAAGTATTACCTGCCAAAATATGACTTTGAAAAATTCCCCTAATTGTTCCCCTAAATGTCAGGAATCAACCCGTACCTCTCCTCAAACCTCTTCTAACTCGCTGATCTAACCCCACTGTTCTGTTTTTGTCTTTAAAAACCCCAGCAATAGCCAGGCGTTCGTGGCGCCTTTAATCCCAGCACTCGGATGGCAGAGGCAGGTGGATCTCTGTGAGTTCGAGGCCAGCCTGGTCTCCAGAGTGAGTGCCAGGATAGGCTCCAAAGCTACACAGAGAAACCTTGTCTCACCTCCTCTGTGGCTGCTGAGTTAGCTAACTATACGAGGTCCCCACCACAGTTGGATAGAGCAATAAACCTTGCTTTTGGCAGTTCAGTGAGTCTGTCTCCTTGGTGGTCTTTGAGACTTGGGCATAACAATTTGTCTGCCTCTGCCTCCTAAGTGTTGAGATTAAAGGTGTGAGCTGGCACACTTGGTTAGAGCTACTTTTTTCTTTCTTTTTTTTTTTTTTGTTGTTGTTTTCAAGACATGGTTTCTCTGTGTAACAGCCCTGGCTGTCCTGGAACTCACTCTGTAGACCAGGGTGGCCTAGAAATCACAGAGATCCGCCTACCTCTGCCTCCCAAGTGCTGGAATTAAAGGCATGCACCACCAACACCTGGCCAGAGTCACTTTTTTAAAATTAAAACTTTACATCTATTTTGATGTAAACATCTATGTTGTTTAAGGTATGTAGAAATGAGAAAACTGTCGGGAGTGGACTCTCCTCTTTTACCACATGGGGTTCAAGTTATTAAACTCAGGTCATCAGGCTTGGTGGCAAGTCCCTTATTCACTGAGCCATCTTGCCAGCCTCCATTTTAAGAAACTTTTTAAAAAAGATTTATTTATTATGTATGCAACATTCTGTCTCCACCTATGCCTACATGCCAGCAGATGGCACCCAGATCTCATTACAGATGGTTGTGAGCCACCATGTGGCTGCTGGGAATTGAACTCAGGACCTTTAGAAGAGCAGCCAGTGCTCTTAACCTCTGAGCCATCTCTCCAGCCCCCATTTTAAGAAACTTTTAGGAAACTATAATATACAAAAGAAAAATTTACAATGCAATAAATGTATATCTGGACAGATTAAATAATAGGGTGTGACAAGCTCCCAGAAACCCCTTCTTCCTTGCAGCCCCAAAGGTGATCACAGTCCTGACCTCTCACACCATAAATGTGTTTGCTTTCTGAATTTATACGGTAGAACTTTCTAATGCATGATGTCACATCTGGCTTCTTTTATTCAAGATTCATCCCCAGGGGCTGGAGAGATGGCTCAGAGGTTAAGAGCACTGACTGTTCTTCCAGAGGTCCTGAGTTCAATTCCCAGCGACCACATGGTGGCTCACAACCACCTTGAATGAGATCTGGTGCCCTCTGCTGGCATACAGGCAGAAGACTGTATACATAAGAAATAAATAAATAAAAATCTTTAAAAAAAAAAAAAAGACTCATCCCCACTGTTGGGCATAGCAGGACTTTGATCATTCTGGCTGTTATGTCTGTGTCCATGGTATAAACAGGTTGTAACTGGTTTTTCATTCCATTCTGCTGAGGAGTTGCTTCCCGGTTGGTGTTATGTGTATACCAGTACACATGTCTTGGTGTTCATATAGAAGCATTTTGTCCTAGTGAGGTTTCCATTGCTGTGATAAACACCATGATTAAAAGCAATTTAGGGAGGCAAGAGTTTATTTCAGTTAACTGTTACAGTCCATCGTGAACGGAAGTCACGGCAGGAACTCAAAAGCAGGAACCTGGAGGAAGGAACTGAAATGGGGGCCATGAAGGAACGCTGCTTACTGGCTTGCTCCCCATGGCTTTCTCAGCCTGCTCTCTTAGAGTACCCAGGACCCATCTGCTCAGGGGGTGGCATTGCCCACAGTGGTCTAGGCTTTCCCACATCAATTATTAATCAAGAATATGCCCCACAAACTTACCTATGGGGCAACACGATGGAGGCATTTTCTCAATCAAGGTCCCTTCATCCCAGATGGCCCTAGCTTATGTCGAGTAGACAAAAAACTAGACAGCACCCATTTCTTCGGTTGGGCGTTGACAGCTTGGGACTGGAATTGCTGGGAGACCGGGTTGGCATAAGTTTAGCTTCCCTGGAGAACTGCCAGTTTTCCAAAGTATCTCTACCAATGACACTCCCTGACTGAAGGAATGTCGAGGTGTTCTGCTACCTCATCTACACGGTCTGTCTTTTCCACTTCCGCCATTCTGGCTGAGGAGGCCGCTGCTCCCCACTCGAAAGTCTGCCACGCACTTGGCGCTGTTAATGAGACTTGGATGAACGGGTGAACAAGTTAAGTTGGGCAACGTAGGATCGAACAGCCTGGAGAGGGCGGACGCACGCACACACAGCATTTCAGGGACGCCCCCCCGCCGCGGACGCACACCA